TGGCTACAGTCTCTTTCAGGACCCCTAGATCCGAGGGTCAACCAATCAAGTCAATGACTCAGGACCGACTGGCAGTGTAATATAAACACACCCCTCTGTACTGGGTGCCTTGGAACAGCAACAACAGTAACAACAGAGCCATCTGCCTGGCCGGAGGGGCGCTGAAAATGTAACTACCTGTTAGTGGGGACGCAGTCAGACTCAGAGAAAATAACCACTTCTGAGATGTTTTTTCTGAGAAAGGTAAAAAGGGACACACACACATAGAGAGAGAAGGAGAGAGTGGAAGGCAGGGTGGAAGCCCCCGGCTCTCAGGTTTACTCTGCACAAGGAGAAGCCTCAAATGCGGTCTCCCACCCATGTGACCACCACAGCAGAAACCTCGAGCGCAGTGTAGTCTTGGCCTCCTCCACCATCAGTCTGCATGAACTCGGATGGCAGGACCCGTGTCTATTCACTGCATTGCTATGTGCACCAGATCTAGAATCGAGCCTGACATCCAGAGAGGACTCCAATATATTTGTCAACTGAATGAAGGAAGACACAGCCACATGCCTTCTATTCAAGCAGACAGAAATCTTCCTAGCAAGATGAAGTTATATATATATTTTTTCCTTTGGTGGCTTAAATTGGTCTTGACAAGTCAACTTGAGGTCCAATGACATCTTCAGAAAACAAAATGCCGCAAGAACAAAAGGAGCCCCAAGGATAATGGGTCGGTGCTTCACCTTCCAGGTTTCTCCACCAAGTCTAAAAACATCTTTATTTTGATCTTCTCCTCATTTCCGTTTTAGGAATGATGGTAACCCTAAATTTAATTGCAGTGTATTTCTTTAAAAATAATAAGCCAAAAAAAAGGTATTGGTCCAGTTCACATCATTAGAACAAAATACAGGAGTTGACAGAAATTTTTGAAACAGTAGGAAGTGACTTTCTAACAAGAAAATGGAATACACGAGGGTCAAAATCTTTATCTGATTCTTAACCTAATTCTCTGATTTGTATCTGAAGCAAATACTGATCATTTATTTTCCTAAAGAGGATTTCCATTACTCATATAACATGGGAACATTTGGACAAGAAACAAGTGTTGGCTTTTAAAATGCAACCTGCAGGGGGCGCTGGGGGGCTTGGTCGGTTAAGCGTCGGACTTTGGATCAGGTCATGATCTCGTGGTTCGTGGGTTTGAGCCCCATGTCGGGCTCTGTGCTGACAGCTCACAGCATGGAGCCTGCTTTGGATTCCGTGTCCCTTTCTTTATACCCTTCCCCCACTCACACTCTGTCGCGCTCTCTCTACAATAAATAAACATTAAAAACTTAATTAAAATAAAATGCATCCTGCAGATATACAGGAGTAATGTAGCATTGTAGGGAAAAACTAAAAACATTAGCTATGAGGGGAATAAAACAACAAACAAAACTATAATAATTACTTCTCTTGAAAGCCCCAGGTTTCTTTGTGAAGCACTGTTAAAATTTCCTAGTTTTGAAATTACAGTTGCCTCTTCTTCTTTTTTTTTTTTAACAAAACCACCACAACCTTCACCTCATATGAGATGCATTGTCAAGACTCAATATAATAACTGTGTGGTGACATTTTGGCAGCAAAAAAGAGGACCTCAAAAGGTCATGTCAACCCACTCCTGACTGATGACAGCCGTCACCAACCTATTAATTAATGCTCAGGACATACGGTGAATTCTTTGTGTCTTTACAATAAATATCACACATGTAGCAAAGGAGAACTTTCTTTGGAAAAAAATAACCCGGTCATTATCTTAGATTATTAGGACCAGAAGAAAGAAGCTGTAAATCCACATTAGAGGGCAAACCTACATTCTATAGGCTGGTGTTTCCTTAAGTACAAGGGAGAACATGGAGAAGAATGGACTTGATCCAGCCATGTCAATTTACAACACGGAGGCAGGAGCCACCTGTGATGAGTATTAGGCAAATGAACTGCTGTAAGTTGCCGTCTTGAATCATCATTTTTCAGACGGTAGGAAGATAGGGAAATGAGCTACTGGAATTTTTCTCCTCATAGAGGGTGGCTTCACAAGTGGGCTATACCCGCGGTTCCCACATAACCTCTGTGTCTCAGCAGGTGCCCAAATTCTTCATACGACTCTCCAACTTGCCTTATATTTCACAAGGAATCCAAATTGTTTTTTGTTCTCTAAAGTTCAATTAGAAGCTTTAGGAGACAAGTGCTCTCAGAAAGAGGAATTCTGTCCAATTATCTCCTTACCCAACATGCGGGAAGCTAGTTTTAGTGATGGCTGATGCTTCTACCACATGGTGTGTCAAATATTTTTTAAATCAACCTTAGTTAAAAAAGATTATAAATCTTTAAAGGAGGTCTGATATAGGAACTACTTCATAATTCATAGCTATTAATATTGTTCATTGGAAAAACCAATGAATTTTGATTCTGGTTTGGGTTTTTTTGTTGTTTTTTGTTTTTCTTTTTTGTCTTTTGCTTTTTTTGAGAGAGAGAGAGAGCAAAAGCAGGGAAGGGGCAAAGAGAGAGAGAGAAAGAGAGGGAGAGAAGCCCAAGCAGGCTTCGTGCTGTCAACGCAGAGCCCAACACGGGGCTTGATCCCACAAACTATGAGATCATGACTTGAGCTGAAATTAAGAGTTGGACGCCTAACCAACTAAGCCACCCAGGCACCCCTGAATTTGAACTCCGAAAACAAGAACAAAACCAGAAACTACTTCTGAAAGTCTGTTAAAATAAGGATAGGTGTAACAGGTACATGGCCAGGATGATCGACGTTCCAGCTGATATGTTAACACATAAGCTTGTCTATTTCCCACCTTCCATCTATGCCAGGACATCAGCCTTGCTCAAAACCATGGATATTTTGGCATCAAGCCTTACACCGGGGCATGGAATCCATGTGGTTTCAAAGCACTGGTGAAGATGAAGTCTGTGCTGCTATTCAAAACAGAAATTTGAGGAGAACTTTTTGGAACTGAAGCAATTTCTAAATCACCATCGGAACCTCATCAATATCAAACTCCCTGGTAGCATCTGTAGTCTTTTGAAAATCAATTCTCTTTCTGATTAGAACAGTGGTAAAACAAAAACCAATGGTGCGTTTGTTTATTTGGTCCTTTATTTAAATAATCTTAAAGGGAAGCTGGCAGGACAGAGTGAAATCTGACACCCAATGAGTCATTGGGTTGGGGGAGGCATCTGCATTGAGTTATGGAGATCACTGGTGAAACTGGGAGAAAACCCGGACACTGGAGCCCGGAGCCGGAGCCTCAGTGCTCTCCAATCTAAAGTCCACATAACAGCACTTCCAACAGCGACTCAACCTAGCAGAGGGCGGTTTGGTTCTTGTTTTCCCTATAGGACTCTGTCCAACTCTGTATCTTTAAATGGAAAATCCTTTTGCTTGAGTCGTTCTTACTCTGTACTTCCCATCACTATCTTACACTATGTTTATTTTTCTACTCTATTAATAAACCATAGATTTGACCAATGACCTCCCCTCTGCCCAGTAAAATAGCAACAACAAATGATAGGAAGAAATATAACTTTAATTCCTCTAGGTATCTAATCTAGGCAATGTTATTCTGGGGAAGAGGGAGACTGGTTTTTGTCTTTGTACAGACTCTGTAAAGACTGTAGTAAATGGTAACCTGATTGAGATTCTGGGGAGACATTTTAACTACATTTCGTACATAAGCTATTTTTCACTCTCCAGGAGTATTCTGAATTAAATTTTCCTCGGTGTTATTCTACACTTTCATGAGTGCTACACGCTCCAATTCAACATGGTGCTTAGAGAGCTCATCCCTGTGTGTCACGCAGTGTTGTACGGTTGTGTGGAGCAGGGTGGGAGCAGGTTTCTAAGCAGACAAAGGGTCCCCACCCTTGCACCAAGGCCACCCTCAAGGCCCCTCTTATTTTAAGAGCCAACACCAAATGTGATTTTGAGGAAATGGTTGTACACATAGGAATCTTTATAGATTCAAGGATTTTTTTTTAATATTTTTATTTATTTCTAGGAGAGAGAGAGAGAGAAAGAGAGACAGAGTGAGCAGGGGAGGGTCAGAGAGAGAGGGAGTCACAGACTGAAACAGGCTCCAGGCTCTGAGCTGGCAGTCAGCACAGAGCCCGACGCGGGGCTCGAACCCACGAACCGCGAGATCATGACCTAAGCGAAAGTCAGATGCTTAACCGACTAAGCCACCCAGGTGCCCCTAGATTCAAGGATTTTTTTTTTTAATTTTTTTTAATGTTTTATTTATTTCTAGGAGAGAGAGAGAGAGAAAGAGAGACAGCGTGAGCAGGGGAGGGTCAGAGAGAGAGGGAGTCACAGACTGAAACAGGCTCCAGGCTCTGAGCTGGCAGTCAGCACAGAGCCCGACACGGGGCTCGAACCCACGAACCGCGAGATCATGACCTGAGCGAAAGTCGGACGCTTAACCGACTAAGCCACCCAGGCGCCCCAGATTCAAGGATTTTTAATATGCAGTTTCCATCTGCCACTGGGACTTAACACCAACCTACAAAACTAACATTGTGAGAAATCGATAGACATAACTGTCAAAGATATTATACTTCTGTTTGTCACCCGCAGGTTGTTGCCTCCCTGAAGACCATCTCTAGCCATCACAGACAGAGCACAGCAGTAAGAAGGCTGGATATCTGTGAGTTCTACAATCTATCTACTATGAATGGGAGAGTCTCAGAAAAGAAGTTAAGACATCCTTTGTTTTGAGAACCAAGCCTGAGGTTATATGACATTTCTCTCTAGATCAAAAGAGCAGGTGTCTGGATATCATCCTTTTAAAAACATAAACGAGAATGAAGTTTCACTGTCAAGGGCACAGAGCCTATTTGCACGTGGGGAGCCATGGCAGATGAGGAGGTGATTTGGCCCAAGGGAAGCATGGATGAGATGGGAGAAATGAGATCATGAGATGAGCAGGGCTGGGGCAGGAGAGGCAGGTGGAGGGTGGGACAGGGGCGGCGCTCACCACTGCCCCCTCCACTGGCTCCTCAGCCTGGGCGTCCAGTCCAGAGTCCAGCCCAACGGCAGGTGTGGCGACAGCAGGGGGCTCCTCTGCCTTCGGCTCTGTGGGTTGAGCCTGTTCAGATTCAGCCTTTGATTGTTTGTTTTAGGGTCAGAGGAAAAAGATTCAACACGTGAGTTGATAACATCACAGGATACTGGACAATTAAGACTTTCTTGGTCATCCTATAGGCAACTGGCTTCATTAAATCTGTGCTGTAAAAAAGGTCCCACATGTGACATCAGGAGCCCTTAACTGAAAAGCCTAGAAATGGACTCTTGTTAGGCTTCTCTTTGGCATCATCAAGCACTGTCACTTCCCCTGACGTCTGACAAAGACTTACCATTTTGGCTACTACTCGTTGTACTTACTTCCACCTTCATGATGTCTGTAAGAAATCCTAAAATGGTACTTCCCGCCATCTGGCAGAGACAGAGAGGATCCTAGGAGCTCCCTTCCTTTGCCAGTTGGAAGGAGGGAGAAAGAGCTCAGGGGTACTGGGTTCTAGGACTTTCTGGCTCTGATATGTGCTGCATTTCAAATGACCCAAAGTTGAAAGGTCACTCCAATATTCCAGTCAAAATGCATTCATCTGTATGACTAGGTCACCACGAAGCCATTGTGCCCCTCACTACCCTGGCTGGGAAGAGCAGACCCAGCTACCTGGCAAGTAACCACCACAATCACAGATGCTTTGCTGCGTTGTATATTCCCGTTCAGTTTCTTGTTCTGCTTTCTCCCACTCCCCAAACGAATTACTAGCAATCAGTCTCTTCATATAAGCTAATTCTGTCGGGAACCAGAGGATGGTATTCTCTGTGATACCAATTAGACTCTTCTAATTGTGTGGCCAAGAGTGAGGATCTTCCATCCCATGGTGATCTTGACACACAGACTTCCTCCTGGTGCCAATTATATGTGGAATCAAGCCTCTGGATCTCTTCACTCCAGACTTTGTTAGTTACAAAATTAGCACTATTAAGTAACAACAGGCCCTTAAGAACACCATAGCCAATGCATGTCACCATGGCTACTGAAAATGTTTTGCCATTTCCAATTTTGACTAATGTAAGCACGTTCATTTAGCTGCATGATCTCACTAAATGGGTGGCCATCGGAAGGCACATTGAGGTCCTTTTCCATCAGGACACTTCAAGTGTAAGAAAGGTGAAAAGTGTTTTCCTAGAGGAGTACGAAGTTTCCAATAAACGCTGTGATTGGGGAAATCAGTAACTTCAGTCAGACTCTTTCTCACCAGAAGCAACGGAGAACCAGATCCCCTGTAATGTTCAGGGAGGCTGCTTCATATGACAAGTTTGATACGGAAGGGATGGGGAAGCTAGGCTGAGATTCCAGGAAATGAATGACGAACAGCTTTGTGCTGGATAAATACACAAAATATTTCTCTTGCGGCCCCTCCCCCAAATCCTCCATTGTGACTCATACCATAGTCACACACATAATAAAAAAGAAAGGACACTTTGGTAGATAAGTGTGCAGTGATTTGATATTTTTATGGGCTTTTATAACTTTTAAGGGGCAACCTGACACAATTTTTAAGAAAGAATGAGATAAAATTCACTCTAATATGCTTTCGAGAGTTTTTTTATGGGAAAGATTTCACGTTTATTGTTCCAAAAGAATTATCTCTGTAACGGAGCAAGGTTTCATAGCAGCCCTGAGCTTCTGTAAGCTCTCAGGATATGATCTTATGACTTTGGAAATCAAGGTAATTTGCTATGAGAGGACAATATCAAACTACCTACACAATAGGGACAGGAAGGGTAATTTGACAAAGTCCCACGAAATCCATATGCAGATGGCAGCCCCCCCGCCCCCCGCCCGTGGGCTGAGTCTACAAGGAGAAAGTCTGAAGCCAGATAAGGAACCAAGAGAAGTTTCCAAATATGAGTCAAGTAAATATATCATTGTACATAAAAAATATATATAATTATAATACAAATATATTTTTATATAATATAATATAATATATATATATATATATAAATAATGTAAAATGAAAAAACATCTGCATCAGAGTCTGGGTTTCTTGGAAGTCCAAAGAAACTCTAAAGCAAGGTAAGAATAAGTAAGTGATCAGGTGTATGAGCTGACTTGCGTTTGCTTACTGACATCAGATAATCCAAAAGGAACACAGTATGAAGGGGATGTAAGGTTGGTTATATCCCCACAAGTCACAACACCTCCCCTATATTATAATATCACACCAGATATTACAATATAGCTCTGCAACTTAACAACTTAAATTCTAGTTGGAGAAATATAACTCAGTGATGAGTAAGGATGAAACACGATAGCATGACTGCGCACATAAAATCAGCTACTCTAATTCAGAAACAGAAATCCTCTTCTATTCCTTCTAGGATCATGTAAAATTGTAAATATTTTATCAAGATGCAAGAAAAGCACAGGCAGATTGTAAACCACATCTCGTGGAAAAGTCTAAAATAGTCCTAGTCAGAGTTAGGCCCCGATTCTACCACTTATTTTCTACAAGATGCCTCCCTTAACAGACTTGCAAATGGGTTGATACCATGTTGTATTTAGGATCATTTGGTGATCATTTCCTATCTACTGCTGGGGTGGCAATCATTACACGTTCTAAGGAGAAGGATACTCTAAATTTATTGGTGGCAGCAGGATGTCCCAATGGTTTAACTCCGAGACACAGAAATGGAATTCTTCCTTTAGAACAGAATGGTAAGTGCAGTCTCAGTGCACTCTAGTGCTCTAGTTTCTAGTATCCTCTGTCCTAAGAGGGAAGGCAGGTCGCTGCAGAGGAAGGAGCTAGGTTGGGAGTGGGGTTAAGAGTCTAGTCACATTCTTGGGGCATCTGAGTGGCTCAGTCGTTTAAGCATCTGACTCTTGGTTTTGGCTCAGGTCACAATCTCACAATTTTGTGAGTTGAAGCCCCAAATGGTGCTCCGTGCTGGGAGCATGGAGCCTGTTAGGGATTCTCTGTCTCCCTCTCTCTCTGCCCCTCATGTGCTCATGTGCTCGCTCTCGTTCTTTTGCTCTCAAAAATAAATAGATAAGCTTAAAAAAAAGAGTCTAGTCACATTCCAGTATGGTACTTGCCTTAGAGTCCTGCTTCTCCAAATTTGGGAAAGCTAATTTAGTGGGAACTGTAAGGGATATAGAGCTAACTGAGCCCTGAGCAAGGATTGCAGATTCAATAGAGTTTAAACTTATACTCAAGGGATGTCCTGTGGGCCATAAGATGCAGACTGGCGAGATGAGTAGTTGACTACGAACATCAACCTTCACCTTGTTCAGATGAGTCAATGGGCCAAACGTTGGGAACCTGTCCAGCTCCTGGGAAGACCCTATATAATCACAACTCAGTGGGAGAAGTGAGTTTGCTAGGACTTCCGAGTTCCTCACACGGCCCAGCCAATGTTAGAAGCATCTGCAATGCTGGTCATGACAAAGCTCAGCGTCCCAATGGAAAGAAGGTGCGAGATGTCTGCTTCAGAGACTACATATCGAAAGAAGGGAAGAGCAGGAAATGGAAGCTTCTATAGCAAGCTGTGGGCAGTAGGAAGATGTTTTGAAAAACTTAAAAACCACTGGATTCTATGGCTGGACTTCTGCATCAAAGTAATGGGTGTGAGTTTAATTATGACCCACTGCCTTTCTTTTTATTCCAGTATTTCTCCATTTTTCTTGACCCTTTCACAGCCTATAATTAAAAGTCTCATCCTCCGGCATTGGTTTAACCCTTACTCCATCACTTGGGCTGAAAGTCACCAAGGAAAACGCCACAGAAGTCTCTCTGGCTCCATTATCAACACCAACATAATTTGTATTTTAAACGCTTAAATATTTGCAGGCCACACAGACGCCACCTCACCTGGTTACCCAAAAGCCAGAAAGTAGGACAATCTACAGACATGACATTCCAGACGTCCTAGCCTTTTAAGAAATATCAAGGTAACCTTTAAGACAAACTTCCCAGAGCAGAATTCTTTACTTAGAAGTGAAATCATCTAAAAAGAAAAAATTTTATTCTACGTAAATCCAATTCTAAGCTTTCAATGTGAAAGCCAGGAGCTGGAGTTAATTACGGACCATTCTCATGGGAAAACCAATGAGCTACAAATAACCCTTGTGAGTAAATTCTCAAAGTGCCCCACGCTGCGCAGTGTACCATGGCCAAGTTCACTAGTGACATCACTCAAGCCTTCTTCACGCAACTTCACTTCACTAGGAAGCGGCTGGGGAAAAGGTTTCCCATGACAACTCCAACAACAATCTTGGAGGAATGTCCTCTCACACCGAGAGTAATTCGGTGTGCTCCTACTCACTCCCGAGCTAAGCTTTTTTTCCTACGTCCTCTAACAGCAATGAAGGGATCCTCTCTATACTGTGCATGACTTCTTTCTACAACTCAAAAAATGGAGGGAGGAGATGAGAGATGAGAAACGAAGTCGCTTCAGGCTCAAGAAGAAGCGAAGATCTATCTTGGAGCATGAATTCTCGAGGCAATTTTACTTTCAATCCTGTGGAAGAAGTTACACTCAGGTGGAAACGTCTGTGCCGTTGATAGATTTCCATGGAAACCCATTAACTAGGAGACGTTTGTGTTTTGTTGGGGTCACTTTGCCTTTATAAGTAGAAGCAACTAACACCTAAGACACTGTGAGATTTTTCAGAAGCCTTCCTTCCTATTTTCTAGAAAAGAAAGGGCTGCAGAAACCACATTCTGGATATTCAAGCTCTAGATTACCTAGAATGATCAACCCTAGCACATTCAGCAGTAAGTTAACAGCTTCCCCAAAACACACACCAAAGTCAACTTACCAAGTTACAGATCATGCTCTGGTCTGTCTGCATGGTGAATAATGACGTGTCCTGGGGCTGAACATTGGGGAGAAAATAAAGATGAAAAATTATGAAGGTTCCAGCTAACTTGCTTTAAAAAAAAAAAAAGGACAAAGATACCATTTAAACCGGCTTCCATCAATTGTATCAATAAATACATTATAAAAGTTTTTAAAGTCTCCTTTTATTTTAAATCAGAAGAGCAGATACTGCAAAAACAATTTTAACAGTAGATGTTCTAAATTAAGTGTTATAAATGTAGGCTAGCATGATACCATATAATAATATAGTAAGAATCATTTAAAAACGGGCAGTGATTTCAGGGACATTTTCATTCCACAGCTTCTCTTATGGACATCTACATTGAATAGGAATTTAGTAGCTCTAAGGTGCACTTGGGTGGCTCAGTCAGTTGAGTATCTGACTTCAGCTCAGGTCATGATCTCATGGTTAGTGAGTTCGAGCCCCACATTGGGCTTGCTGCTGTCAGCACCTAAGCTTTCCGTGCAGAATCTGTCCCTCTCTCTTTCTGACCCTCCCCTGCTTATTCTCTCTCTCTTAAAAAAAAAACTTAAACGTTTTTTTTAAAAATGGAAAAAAAAGATAGTAGCTCTAAACTGTAAGTTCACACTTTGTAAATGCCGGAAATTCAATCTTACTAAATGACCTAAGTGTGACTCCTATGGGCTAATAATGAACCATAACTTAAACATTTTATACCATGCATTCATTGACCTAAAAAATCAAGCTGGAATAAATCTAAGGGAACAGTGATCTCTAAGACAATATTCATCTCTGCTTATGCTGGTAGCCAGGCTTACAGCCAGCAGACAGAAGACCAGAAGTCTTGGTTAATCAGACCAGTTGAAGACCAAAAAAAGAAAAAAAAGAAAAGAAAAAGTACCTATAGAATTAGATATCAGCCCTTCCCAACAGAGAAGATGACACAGTGGCACTTGGTTAATGATGTTATATTGAGACAATTACCTCTGTTACCTCCAGAATCCAAACTAAGCCGTAAAGGGAATTTCATAAGACAAATTTAAAAAGGCATAAATCCCTGAGCATAAGAAGCATGAGAAGAAAGATTAAGAGCAACAAAACTGAAAAGCAGACGAATGCACAAGTAAGTTGGTGGGCCCAGAAAAAAATCTCTATCCTCAGGTGATGTAAGAAATGCCAAAAAAAGCAACCTGTTTTATTACTCAGAACTCCCAATGGATCAGGAATTAGAAACATGTGGCAGGGAGCCACCTGGGTGGCTCAGTCAGCTAAGTGTTTGACTTCGGCTCAGGTCATGATCTCGAGGTTTGTGAGTTTGAGCCCCGCGTTAGGGTCTGTGCTGACAGCTCAGAGCTTGGAGCCTGCTTTGGATTCTGTCCCTCCCCATTCTTGCTATGTCTGTCCATCTCTCTCTCTCTCAAAAATAAATAAACATTAAAAATTAAAAAAAAAAAGAATTAGAAATGCAAGGACCAAGGGAAACAGAAGCTGGGTGGTGCTAAACATGGGGAACTGGCTAGAAGGCTAATAAAAAGTAACTGGACCTCGAGATCCTTTCATTGATCCACAAACCAAGTGATATCCCTTCACCCCAGCACAAGACTTGACGTTTTTGCAGAGGCTGAAACAGAGGGTGTCTGGACTAGGGAACACACAGGCAGCTTAGGCAAGTAGCAACCTTGAGTGAGATAAATACTGAGAGCAGGGACTCCATCACCCCACCCTCAACTTCTTTCCCAATCACCTCCTATTACAACCACCAGACAGGAGACAGAAGAGCTGGAAGTTTAATCAGTCCAAGAAAAATAAATGCCTGAAGAATTCACATCAGGGGTCAGACCACAGTAGATCACTATAAAATTTCAGAAACAAGGGGTAAAAAAGAGATTCTACAAACTTCCGGAGAGAGAGAGTGGTATTGAAGGGGGCAGAAAGAAAGAGAGGAGTTTTCTTAAAAATATGGAAAATCAAAACAACAATAATTCCACACTTCCATACATTACCCTGGGTTCTTCACAAATAGGGGCACTTAATCCCCATCACCTATTTCCCCCAGCCCCCTGTCCATCTCCCCTCTGGTAACCATCAGTTTGTTCTCTACAGTTAAAAGTTTATCTTGGTTTGTCATTCTCTCTCTCTCTCTCTCTCTCTCTCTTTTTTTATTCTTTTGCTCATTTGTTGTATTAAATTCCACATATGAGGGAAATCATATGGTATCTGTCTTTCTCTGACCGACTTACTTCACTTAGCATTATACTCTGTAACTCCATTCACATCATTGCAAATGGCAAGATTTCATTCTTTTTTATGGCTCGGTAATATTCCATTGTAAATAGATAGACCACCTCTTCTTTATCCGTTCACCTGAAACTAACATAAGACTGTAGATTTACTAAATTTGAATTAAAATAAAAACTAGGACTACTACCAGTCATTTCCCAATAATTCTCAATACTTCGGTCTCTACGCAAATACAAACTCCTGCAAATTACAATTAAAATTCTGAAATAAGATACAGAATTTCTAGTAGTAGATGAAAATGATGTTGGCGAACCATTATAGTATTACACAAATAATGGTGAAGTCCAATTAAAGACCGGCTAATACATGAAGAAAGGGTCAACAAGGAAAACAACATGACAGATACTTGGAACGAGAATACAATTTAAATAATTATTCAAGATTAAGAAAGCCCCCTGGGAGAACTGATGAAACCTTCAAATATTAATTCAAAATCTATTTTTTTTAAGTTTTAAAAAATATTTATTTTTCAGAAAGAGAGAGTGAGCAGGGGAGGAGCAGAGAAAGAGGAAACACAGACTCCGAAGCAGCTCCAGGCTCTGAGCTGTCAACAGAGTTCCATGTGGGGCTCGAACTCACAAGCTGTACAATCATGACCTGAACCCAAGTAGGACGCTTAATCCGACTGAGCCACCCAGGCACCCCTCAAAATCTATTCTCGGAAAAATAAAAGACTCTATGATCCTGCTATAAAAGTCAAACATGAAGTAAAGTTATTGTTTGTGAAACAGTTCTGTCGGAAAACGGTTTACTCAAAAAATTAGCATGGAGGGGCTCCTGGGTGGCTCAGTCGGTTAAGCGTCCAACTTCGGCTCAGGTCATGATCTCGCAGTTTGTGGGTTCAACCCCGCGTCGGGCTCTGTGCTGACAGCTCAGAGCCTGGAGCCTGTTTCGGATTCTGTGTCTCCCTCTCTCTCTGACCCTCCCTGCTCACACGCTCTCTCTCGCTTGCTCTCTCTCTCTCTCTCAGAAATAAATAAAACATTTAAAAATTTTTTAAAAAATTAGCATGGAGTTTTCATGATAATGGTAATTTTATTAAATCTAAGATAAGATTAAATTTTTAAAAAAAGAATCAAAACAAGTGTTCCTCGGTGGCAACACTGGGAGGTAGGAAAAAAGAATGGAGGAATGGCTTCAAAATTCTAAGGGAAAATATTATATTCTAATACAATATCCAATCCAAGCAACCATTCTGTACATAGATACAGACATTTGCAGATGTATAAGGTCACCAACGCAAACTTCTCACGCACGCTTTTCTGAAAGCTACAGGAGGGTGTGCCTGAATTTGTGGATGCAGATGTGTCCCAGTAGGTGGCATTAAACCACAAATGAGGAGACTTGTGTCCAGAAAGGAAGGACTGACAGAAGGAAGAGGGGAGGGCAACCCCCAGGGCAGACACCCCAGGGGAGTCTGGGAAACAGCCGGGGCAGCAGGTGGAGCTAGAGAGAACCCAGTTCAGACGGAGCAGCGGGAAGGAGAGACGAGCAAATTCTTCAGGAAGATGAAACTGACTGAATGCTTTACGTTTGCCAACAAAAGGAGGGAAGATTTACAGAACTACAGAGTATGGGGCTGAATTAGCAAGAAGGACCTGAAACACTAAGCAGAGGAAAAGACCCTGCAATTATTTCCCCAAAGGAGAACAAAAGGTTGGCATGAAAGTAAACGTAAACTTCATGGCTGGGGCGCTGAGAGCATTTATATCATTATACTATTTATTACCACAGATTGGCTGGACGGCTTCGGTGGGACTATAGCCGAGAGTGGGCCGGGAGGAGAGGGAGGGGTGAGCCGTGAGGTGGGGTGGGGGGCGTCTGCAGGTATGTCAAGTCCGCCCCTTCCAGAGAGAGGAGTCTATAGATAATAGATGATAGACAACGCTTTAGAAACCACAAAGTAGCTTATAAACAAGTCATGCACACATATGCGGCTGAGATCAGAGAATCTGGTAAAAGGAGTAAAAGTATTTACCTCTAAGAAACCGGAAATGGAGGTGTGTGACAGTCTGAACTTTTTACATAAAACGCGATTATACAATTTGGTTGCTCTTTAAATGATGTGAATTTATAACTGACAAGCACACAAATGAAAGAAAAATGAGAAATGAGTAACAATTCTCATGCCCTGACCTTGTAAAGAGGTTTAGGCAGGTGAGGAGACACATTATCATCTCCCTTTGTGGCCAAGTGAACCTGCATTTGGAGGTGGGTCTGGGTGGACTTTATCATTTCATAGATAACATGGGGCAAAGTAAGCAAATCTTTAAATAGAGAAATTCTAAATGCTAAAATGAGAAACTGTTCCTCTCTAATAATCTGAGACAAAGCATTCAGCACAGACTGGCCTCTGTGTGAAGTCCTCCCTCAAGAGGTTTTCAGAAGTTATTCCAAGGGCTTGAGAGCCGGGTGGTCTGCCTTTTACATGGGTGACAAGTGCCCATCTGTTGGGTCGTATCAAGTGATGGGACAGTCCATCTTGTGGCTTCTTTTCCACAGACGCCCAAGGAAAATTCCGCCTTCCTCGACAGAGCCAATCAATGGTTTCTTAGCCTCAAACAGCCCCTTCCTGAAGAAGGACCGAAGAGATAAGGTTCTATGCAGTATGGCTCTTAGATGATTCCACATAAAGGGGCTCCTAAAAACCATTTCTTTTTTCTAAAGACCCATCCCATTAGTTGAAAACAATCCTCTCTCTTCTTTTCTGACAGCTGAATCTAGTGGACCTCTTAGGTCAGGACAACCTCTAATTTCTAGCAGAGGAATCAGTATAATGGGCAGGCTAACAATATCAGTAGGTCAGGAAGCACTTAGTACGTATGTACTACCTACCAAGGGTGCCTGCCAGTTGTATATCTCAGGGACTCTTCACCACAACCCTACAATACTGCCACTATCACTGCTTCCATTACCAAACTTGCAAGTGAGAGGGTCATGTATCGCACCGACGTGCTTAAACGTTATGCTACTCAAGTGACACCAAGGTCACTCATTCTCAAAGATGGATTGTGCAAGCAAATCGATCTCTTACCTGGGTGAATCCATTAAATGTACCACCGGAAGCCTAAACAGAAAGGGAAATCAATGTACGTTATTTTCTGTCATTTTTGTGTGATCAGTAAATGTCCATCAGACAAGTCGGAAAGTAAAGACCACCACACTTTTTAAAATAATACAAAAGGTTGCTGTGCATGAGCGCGTTTAGGAAATGCAAAAGGCTGAACTGTATTATTTTAAATAGGCTGACAAAAAAAGAGATTGTTTTTACAATTATTGCCAGTGTATGGTTCAGTCAGTGCTAACCAAAGCCCACTTTCTCAATAATGAGAAAATGATTCCAGAGAAAAGCTAAAATAGACTAATTAGTTCCCAACACAACCACTCTGCTTTCTTTAAATTATTTTTTTGTCAACCTATTTGTGTTTGGTTTGCACAGATTTCAAGGAGATGAAGCAGGTCTCAGAGAAGACAGTGATGGATAATGAAGTAGGTGGGAAACATTAGGAAAAACAGAACCTACAGAAGTCTTTGGCTAGTCTATACTACATACTGGGGTTAAGTACCTCTTCTTTATCAGGCTCTATTTCTTGGTACAACAATCCATATCTCTGGTTAGCAATTTCATCTTCAGATAAATCTGAGTTGCTGATGTCATTGTCTTGGGGACTAGCGGGACTTTCAGTGCTAGCACCGTGGGAGGTTCCCAGAACCGACGGTCTAGCCATGTCTCGGCTTTGTTCCCAGCACTTAGCAATGACTTGTTCCCCACACACAGCTGCTGGTGAGTCCACCTCCAGCCCTGTCTTGCCTTCAACTGTATCTAAATGTTCCCAGCAACTGTCTAAGCCTCCCACATCTCTGATAGGCCAGTGGTTAACAGAATCAAGCCAACTGGCGAATCCACGAGTTTGGCCATCTGGTATACCAGAGAATTCCAATATATCCATATTATTCACTGCCGAATCCAAGCTTGGCTGCCAGATTTGACCTGGATCTGTTGCCCAAGAGTCTGTTTTCATAATACTTGGCAAGTTAATGGTAGGACTACAGTTCCCAGTCGCTGTACTTTCAGACCCCTCTATTAATGAGCCTTCTGCCTTACACAAACACCAATCTCTTCTGTTTGCATTAGTTCCCAGAGAACAGTTAAGGTCTGTCCTAGACTGAGCTGCTACTTCATGTTTTATTGAGGAAACAACAGCCTGATCTTCATCCCTGTCAACCCCAGGAGTATGTAACACGGCCTCATGCTGACTTTCTTCTGCACCTGCACTGCTTTGTCCTGAGTGATGTATTATATCATGGTTAGGAGGGCCAATTAAATTTTTTCTTATGTCTTGTCTAGCTAAATCCCATCCCTCGGGGCTGGCATTTTCAATATTAGATACAGAATCGGTCTGGAGACACAGATTCAAAATGTCTGTGTGATGGGTGGGTTCAGCTCCAGAGCCTCCTCTACTTTCACAACTATTTATTACTACTGGATGCCCTTCATCTAGCCCTTGGTCTCTGTCACTAAATTCAGGTGCTGTATCTACTCTTTCCAGGTCTTTTTCTAACACATGAGTTGTATCAAAATACTCTGCATTGGTCTTTCCACTTTCCCCACAACTAGCTCTTAGATCGTTCCTCATTTCCTCTTTACTGATTTCTAAGGTCTCCTGGTCTGGGTTTCCTATTGTCTTAACATCAACTAGCCTGTTTCCTGCACTGTCACCCACTTTCTCTTCAAATTCCTCTGTACCTTCTAGTGCCTTGATATCAATAGCTCCAGTGTCTACCTTTTCATATGTCTCCACACCTGCCCACATAGAATCTTCAGTCTTCTGTTTCTCTTCCTCTTCTTCTGATTCTTTAACATCTTCTGGACTTTCTTTGACCAGGCCACCAGTTTCTGTGGCTGCCATCTCTGAGTTGGGTAAGTCATGAGGCCACTCCATCTCCAGATAAGCAGCTGTGGCAAATTCAGCCTCAGGCACAGGCTCTGGGGACAGCTGTTCATTTCTGCCCAGAAGGGCTGGCCCCACAACAAGCTCACCCTGTTCAGCTACAGGGTGCCAGGAAGCAGGAGGCATTCCAGTGGATAATCCCATGTCCTGCTCTGCTTCAGAGAGACATGAAGAGTCTTCCTGAGACCCACCTTGTGTAATTTCCTGGCTGACACTCTCTGTACTAGCATCAGGGCCCCAAATAAATGCACCTAGGTCAATTTGAGATCTTTGAGTTTCTTCGGCCAACCCACTGTCTGGAGTTTCCTCCATGATCAGGTTACACAGGGAAAGACTTTTTGAAGAGTCAGCCTTTAGAAGTATGCAGAATAGCAAAGGAAAAAAAAACACAACATAAGATGAAATAGATCATGGCAAGATTTGATGAGGAACACAAAGGTCTTCAGTAGGGTAGCAGCAGTTAAAACTAGAGAGTAGTAAAATTAAAATTAAAATTAAATGGCTTAAGGTTAAATCTGCAATAGCAATGCCATGGAGAAAAAAAAGGCTCATTCTAGATAATATCCACGTATATAAGGCATATTAAAGGAAAAAAAAAATCCAGAATATTCTGGATATTTACCTACCGGCTGTACCAAGTCAGTGCTTGTCTGCATGAGTAAAAGAAGAAATAATCATCAATAATAATAATAATAACGATAAGGCAAAAGAAGAAAATTCTCTAGCATATTAAAATCCTGTGCTGTCAAGACTCAACATTCTCCTGAAAGCTGTGGCTTTTACTGGTTTGAGATCAAAGTTTACAACTGGTTTTTTGATAGGGGTGAGTTTTGTTCCATTGCTGGTTAAGACAACCCAGTTGAAACATGAAGAAAGCCTCCGCCATTTTCTAGTCAGCAAGGAGCTCTCCTGGCTATTACATAGCTTCTGCTTTAGCAGAACTCTGAGTCGCAAAGTTTTCAAATAAAGAAGCAAACTTGTGAAGACGAGAACAAGATCAGGCGCTAGCACCCACGAGAGGACACACGGGTCACGCGGTCTGTCACAGGACCAGAATGCGTCTTCCCCAAACTCCTTCCACACTGGTGCCTCTGTGGTAGGGTTTGTGTGACCGCTCGGGCGATTCTCCTCATGTTCTTCCCGCCCCCACCCCCAAACTAGAAGCCTGGTCTGCACACAAATGACACTGAGGGATTGAAAGGGGCAAGGAATGCCAGTGATTTGGTCAAGGGAGCCACTGTTTTGCAATTTTGTCATCACTACCTTTGTTTTTTTTGTTTGTTTGTTTTTGTGTTTTTAGTTTTTAAAAAATGGTATTTAGTTTTGTGAGAGAGAGAGAGAGTGCGAACAGGGGAGGGGTGGAGACAGGGGGAGACACAGAATCCAAAGCAGGCTCCAGGCTCTGATCTGTCAACACAGAGTGCGTAGTGGGGTCCGAACCCATGAACTGTGAGATCATGACCTGAGCCGAAGTTGGATGCTCAAGTGATGGAGCGACCCAGGTGCCCCAAGTCACCACTACCCTTCTTAGCAGGTTTATCCTCTGAAATACTCAATGTTCCATCTAGATGATACCTTCCCCCTCACCATACCCTTTCTGGTGAGGGAAGGGAAACTGTATTATAACCCCAACTGAAGATGTGAAACACTGGAATAATAAAACATGAGCACTGTCCTCTTGAGCTTCAAGAAAATTAACAGAGTTGCAGCTAGAATTCAAACATCCTGAACATCAGTCCATGAATCCCTTTTTGTGATTACACAAGCAAAGCCAGCTCACTATAAAAGATGTTTTCAGTCAACATTCTTTAGCTTTTCTCTTGAGAGTCTTCCAGGATGCTTCAAGGACCCTAAGTAGGGCAGTATAAACCCACTCCTGTGGAAGGGAAGGGGGCAGCCATCTTTCTGTCTCAAGGGAAGAGAGTAGCAATGTCATTTCAGAAGACTAGATCCATAAAGACCCAGATCTAGCAGACTTTCCTATTGCCGTCTCACTAAAAAAGAAGAAAAACAAGCCAGGGCACCTGGGTGGCTCAGCTGGTTGGGCGTCCAACTTCAGCTCAGATCATAATCTCGCCGTTCAGAGTTCGAGCCCTGCATCAGGCTCTGTGCTGACAGCTCAGAGCCTGGAGCCTGTTTTGGATTCTTTGTTTCCCTCTCTCTCTCTTTCCCTCCCCTACACACACACACACACACACACACACACACACACACACACACTCCCTCTCTCTCTCTCAAAAATAAATAAACTTATAAAAAAAAAAAAAAAGAAGAAGAAGAAAAACACGAAACCAGAGTTGAGGTCTGAAGACCATGTGACCAGAGCTTTTCCAAGACGGGGCAGACATGATATCCTCAGGGATATGAGGCTCCACGTGGGTATGGCCACCTCCTAACTCCCCAACACACATGCCACCACCACAAAGCTCCATTTGCATCTTTTCTTTTCCCAACTCTTACTTCTGGAAGCGCCCATCCTTAGCCATCAGATTAACTGAATACATACCATTAGTAGTAATAGCTACCTTTTATTGATATGTATGTACTGGATGTGGGGCTAAACTCTCTACAAATATTAACTACTGAATCCTCACGTGACCCTCTGAGGTAGGTGACATTGCCCTTATTTTAGAGATGAAAAAAAATTGAGGCCAAGAGAAGTTCATAAGTTGCTTGAAGTCCTACTGTTACAAAAGGTAGAGTCTTGACTCAAATCCAGAGCTGTGTGGCTCTACAGCTCAAAATCTTGTTGACGAAGGTTCCTTATTACTGGAAATAATAGTTAGAAAAGGGTTCCTTGTGCAGAGTAGCGTGTCCCTTACGTTTGCTCACCCGCATTTTCTTCTATGCTATTTAAGAGCAATATAAAAAAGGTGCACATCCTTCACTCCATTTCCTGTAGCCACTCACGATGGGAAGGAGCATAAAAAGGCAGATCAGGAACACAGATTCTTGCTTATCCAGGAGTCTGGCACACTGACAGTCTTCTACACCACCGTTTCTAGGTGCTGGTAATGCTTGGACCACCAGAGGGCTGATGACTGTGCTAGGAGACGACACGATCATTTAAAAACGTCTAGGTCTGGGGCGCCTGGGTGGCTTAGTCGGTTAAGCGTCTGACTTTCGCTTAGGTCATGATCTCGCGGTTCATGGGTTCGAGCCCCACGTCGGGCTCTGTGCTGACAGCTCAGAGCCTGGAGCCTGTTTCAGTCTGTGACTCCCTCTCTCTCTGACCCTACCCTGCTCATGTTATCTCTCTCTCTCCTAGAAATAAATAAAATATTAAAAAAAAAAAAAAGTCTAGGTCTTCGGGGCACCTGGGTGGCTCAGTTGGTTGAACGTCTGATTCTTGATTTGGGCTCAGGTCATGACCTCACACTTTGTGAAATGGAGCCCTGCATAGGGCTCTGCACTGACAGTGTGGAGCCTGTTTGGGATTCTCTCTCTTCCTCACTGCCCCTCTGCTGCCTGTGTTCTTGCTCTCCTTCTCTCTCAAAATAAGTAAATAAACTTTAAAAAAAGTTCAGGAGCACCTGGGTGGCTCAGTCGGTTAAGCATCCGACTTTGGTCCAGGTCATGATCTCGCAGTTCATGAGTTCAAGCCCTGCAGCAGGCTCTGTGCTGACAGCTCGGAGTCTTTGGATTCTGTGACTCCCTTTCTCTCAGCCCCTCCCCAGCTCATCCTCTGTCTCTGTCTCTCAGAAAATAAATAAACATTAAAAAAAGTTTAGATCTTCCAATCACAGATGAATTATAATAAAATAAGGTTTCCAAATTTCTAGGGATTCAGGTACTTCAAAATACGAGCTCTCAAACCATAAAAAAAAAAAGATACAAGCTCTCAGGACTCTTACCGTCCATAGATCCCAGGGCAATGTCTGAAAGCAAACAAACAAAAATATAGTCAGTATACAAATCGCAAGCATGTAAAAAATACTGACATAAATAGAAGTTCTAAAAATAAACATCTTTGAAACGTTTAATATAGTGCTATTCAACAGAACTTTCTTTGGTGGTGAGAATGTTCCAGATCTGTGCTATCCAACGTGTGAACACTAGTCCCAGGCAGCTTCGGAGCACTTGAGATGTGCTATGTAACAGAACCAAATTTTCAAATTTACATAATTTGATTTAATTTAAATTGGAATAGTGAAATGTGTCTTGTGGTGACTGCAGTGAACAGTAAGAGGCCAGTCAATCTGCTTTTCGCTATTGGGCTAAAAACTGTATCTGAAACATGATTAAAGTGCCTACTTTACTACACACACACACACACACACACACACACACACACACACTTAAAATGAAGTACACGGTGTCCAGAGTGTAGTTTCTCATATCTTTGAGGAAATACAGATCTAATCGTTGCTACGACTTCCTCTCCTCCCCACTCTCCAAATTCAAGAGGATGCACTGACCAGTGTGATGGTAAATGAACCCCAGAAAAGTAGTTCTTTAGTATGTTGAATTAGATGATAGCACAGCTCAATTACTAAAGAATCATGCAAATTAGCAGCGTGCCCCCTAAGACATAATGGATGAATTATGCTTACTACCAGCATTTTAATTATAAAGCTCACTGACCCCTCGGAAGGAATCCAGATGGCTCAAGTGACTGCCGCCGTGCGTTTGGGACAGTGAGGGAGACCTCTCTCACCTCCTCTGGGACTGAGACCTGCTGCTAATGCCACCTCCCTTTCTGCTTTTGTCTGTGTGACTGGAGTCAGATCCGTGTTTACACACTTGTTTTGAATCTCTAAGTGAGTGGCAAATTAGAGCCTGGCACTCCCAAACGAGGAACATGGGAGTGTCCAGATGGGGTCACAGATGTCTCTGGACTGGAGGACAGGGGTCCTGTGGTTGTGAGGGAGCCCGGCCCCTGGGTGGTACTGCCCCGGCTGCCCCGCACCTCTGTGCAGCCTGGCTGGGTTGGCTCGTACCTGTCGAATGACTAACAAAGGAGGACAGAACGGATGCAGGGAAACCCCCGGTTACTCGTACTCGTATGCGGACTCCTTCTGCATCTAACACGCACTTTCTGGTTATTCAGATGGCATGTGTTTTCTTGCTTCCCGGCCTCAGAAGAATCACAGCTCCTGAAAGCTACCCCATATCCCTGCCTCGTATCCCTGGCACAGGGTATTTTCTCCAAAGGAAAGCGGCAGAACGAAACGTCTTGGTTATCAGTCCTCAGCACCATGAAAGGATGCGTTAACTCGTACGGACACCGCGGCGATGGCAAGGTGAGCCGCTGCCGTGGTCGCAGCAAAACACCCATTTAAAGCCCAGGGGCAGGCGACGGTTAAGCGAGAACATTCAGAGCGAAGGGAAGAGAAGGCCCGCACACATCCAATGGCTTCTGTGTGTTTTGCTCTCTCAGCCTAAGACTGTTCTGGGTGAAAAGCAGATGTGATCGGAGCCAGCTCACAGCCTGACTCTGCAGTGAGGTGCCTCCGTCAGGGCAGCCACGGCGGTTCATTACCCGGCCAGAGGGAGAACATGGGGGCACACAGAGCTCTTCCTAACTGCGGTGATGCATTTTCTTTGGAAGAAAAACTTTTGAAGATTTAACTAAGGCCATTAAAAAAGATTTTTTTTTCATGTTTATTTTTAAAAGAGAGAGAGACAGAGTTTGAGCAGGGGAGAGGCAGAGAGAGGGAAACACAGAATCTGAAGCAGGATCCAGGCTCTGAGCTATCAGCACAGAGCCCGACGCAGGGCTCAAACCTATGAGCTGCAAGATCATGACCTGGGCCGAAGTCAGATGCTTAACCAACTGAGCCACCCAGGCGTCCCTCAGTCATGGTTTTTTAATTCTGAAAGACTCTCTTAGTCCTAAATCCACACAAATTTCCATGATTTGTGGAATTTTTTAATCACGGATAGATATAAAAGAAGTTTCTCCCTTGATGCAAACTTGCAGACGGCCATGCTATGGGAGCTCATCCGCTGATCACAACGGCATGCTCTGGCCACGAGAGCAATGAATGCTGGTGGGTGGGACCCAGAGGTCCCGTGAATCCTGCACAATGAGGTCTACACAGTGAGAAAGCTCTTTCATGGAAGTATTCTGACTAACATGTACATTCATGTCCTGCTTAGCTGGCCCCCCAAGGCACAACCCTCAAACTTGCTGACAATCACTATGGTAGCATTTCCCGAAGTAGGTTTTAGAGAACATTCCAATGAATGTGAAGAAACTTTTATTCAGACAGATTTCTGTGGCCAAACAAATTTGGAAATCTCTAAGTTAAACAAGTCTAAACAGTTTTTTCTTTTAATGGCAGGACTTCCTGGAGCCTTTAATATTCTAATGCCTATCATGACTCTCCTAAAAGGGATTTAATAGGACTTTTTGAAACATTTATCTAAAAGACCCAATTTTTTTTTTTTGTGCAAAGTACCTTTAAAGCCTCGTATCTGATCTGCTTGATTACCTGCTTTACAAATCTCAGATTTGTATTGTTTCTATATTACAACCAGGAGGCCTTCAGAAATGTGATCACATTCTGGAATAAAGCACGGATTAGAGAGAGGCTTTACTTGTTGAAGTTCATACTGAGCGGACAGTGGTTTACTGTAAGGTGTCGAGAAGGCTTCAAGACTGGAAGAGTGAGCTAGGCCTCAATTTATAACTCGCCTTCCTTAGTTCATGCGAAGTATACCCCAGCATCTCTGCATCTGCCCAGATTCAAATGGAAGGCCCCAAGCACAGCAGAACGACTGACGTGGACAATTTCTGCTTAGCCAGACCTTGCGTTAACTTCCTCCCATGGGCATAGACGATCGTGAAGGAAGTCTACTGCAGAGGAATCATCCACAAGCCATTACAGCGCCCACCCCCAGCACCCCTCTACGGGAGGACGCTGTGGCATCACTACCGAACGGAGGAAAGGTTGAGGGTGAGGACGATGAACAAGGGGAAGTGGGGTACACGAGTCCGGCTCCGCATCAAGCCATAGCTCAGATCACATGAGGGAAGCTCCTGCAACGTGGAGGGGGACAACGTCATCAAGTTCCAAGTGATGAAGAGTGGAAAACACTTCCACTGGGGCACAATGTCAAGGCTATGTCTAACGTGCTGTAATCTCCCAAGCATGTGGAAGGAACGCAGAGGAAACACTGAGAAGGTAAGGCCAGGGCCAAAAGAAAGAGCTGCATTTAGAGAAGCCATGAAATCTATCATTGAAATCTGAACACTCTGAGTGTAAAATGATACTAAAAACAACAATTACTCTGAGATAGAGGATTTCTGCGCAGCTATACGTTCCAGTTTGGGATGTATGGTTATCCCAGCTCGATGGGTAGAGAGAGGGGATGGGAGGGGGAGGTTTGGAATGACAGGCACGGATAAGGTCTTCTTTCTACCCTTCCTTCCCATTAGGAAATGTCTGTCAACCCAAAAGAAAATAGTCATTTGAAACGGACAGTCATCTGAAAGGCATCTGCTGCCCTTATATAGCTTATTAAAGTTCACGAAACGTCATCCCCAAACATCAAAACTGCCACTGGATACCTGCGACATGGGTGAGTGGGCCACAGCAACAGAGCCTGCAGTTGCCACCTCAGGCTTGAAAGGATCGAAGTCCAGATCCAACAATGTCTCCTCTTTCTTCACCTCAGGGACTTCATTCTGTTAAAGCAGGACGCAACAAAATATGAGACGTTGTGCTCTAATCCACGTATAATCCTCTAACTAACATCACTGAGTATCCCCCAAGCACGCTCTGATAGTTTACCCAGAGTCACTTGCTAAATGTTAAGAAGGGGGAAGTAACTGACTCTGGCCAACCAGAACCTAAGGTGCCTTGAAATGTGACCCAGGCTTCAGTTTCTGTCCTTTGTCCAGCTCCAAATCCAGCCAATGAAGAGAATGTTGAAGAAGTATGTCCTGATGCCATCAAGATCCAAGGACTTTCCTCTGCTATTTTAGCAATCTCAGATCAAGAATTACAGATGGATAAAATAGGCCAAGGGTTGGACCCATCACTGTAGCCCACTGCTGGGAGGTCCCCTGCGAAGCCAGCATGTAAAAAGGAAGGGATACCATCTACTCTGACTACACCCATCTGCGTCACCCCCTCAGATTTAGTTATCACATAACCATTCTTCATCCATAATTCTGTCGGTCTCCACTGTGCATATGAGGGAGGGAGGGTGAAAGAGACAGTGATAGGGAGAGAACCATGTCCCCGGACATCTGCTATAAAATCACCCTCTTGGATTAGAGAGAGGTAAGCCAAATATGACCTAGGATAAAAGTCCTGCTCCAACAGCAAAACATTTATAATACTTAACATTAATATTTGTTCATTTATTGTGATATCATGATACAAAAAAATAACATGGCTTGAAGTTGAGCCTACCCTTGGCTCAAGTCATACAGTAAGGGTCAGAGCTGAAATAAAGCCCCATAAACCATCACAATGAAGAGAACTGGGACAGTTCTCACAGAATCAAGTGACCTGTGTTTGGCGTTTGATAGAAGCTTCAGTTTTGACCATCTGTAGTCTAGAAATTCAAAGGTCACAACCATGGATGAAGCAGGTAAGAAAAGGAATGCTCAGAGAAAGATTTTAAAGAACAAGACTTCTCTTAATTAATAATGATCATAGATGAAAATTTGAGAACATAGAGCTGTCTGAGAAGCTTTGGGGCATCATAGATCATTTTTCTTTGTGTATTCACACTCACTATTGAAGGAAATCTGCTAAAATACCACGCTATTGGTCCTGAGCTGCCTATTTTGTGACATGATTTTTCTTACACACGTTTAAAAGTTCACAAGGATAATGCTCTTCTGAGATCCCTCTTGTTTTAATATAATCACAAAACCATCAACTGATTCCTTTGGTCCCTATTCAAAATCTACAGCAGTCCTGTATTTCACCAACATTTGTATTGGTACAAGTTATACGTTTAAAACTGCGACCACTTATATTGACTTAGAATGCGCTAGGCACTGTTCTGAGAGCTTCGTGCATATCAGTATTAACTGAGGTTAGGGCACTTGGCTGCAGTCTAATGATGACAGCACTGCAATACCGTGATTGCCTTCAAAGAATGACCTTGCTAGATCCCCCAAACGTCATTTCACCTGCACGGTCTAATCCTTACAAAAATCAAGGGCAAAATGGCATCATTCCTCCATCTGGAGATGAGGAGAGTGGGCTGTTGTCCTGAGCCTGTCATCTGCAGCGCAGCTGAGGCAGGACAGCAACAGCCAGGTGCCTTTGACTCCAGCGCTAATCCAGGCTGCTGCTGCTGAGACCTGGTCCCACATCTCCCACACAGGCACCAGGAGGACCTGCAGAGGCATTCTGGGCAGCCTCTCAATTCTTCACGAAAAGTGAGCCCACCCAAATCTGTCCACTAATCCTCGATGGGCCTCATGGAGCCCCTATGGAAACTCGGATGGAAATGCAGAGATCAAGGATGCAAAGTGGCATGAGAGCTGAAGAGAGCTATGCTTAGACTCTGAGATGGATCTGGGTTTGCACCCAGTTTTGCCACTGGTTAGCTGTCTCTCTCTGGGCAATTAATTCAGCTTCTTTGAGCCTCCATTTTTTCATGCTTAAAATGAGAGTAATACTACTCACCTAGTTAAGATTGTCATGAGTAGTAAAGACAATTTACCAGACAAACTACCAATACCAGGGATGAGAGAGGGGGCGTTACCAGAGATAGTAACAAAACAATAAGGAAGTATTATAAACCACTTTATCCCAATACATTTAACATTTAGATGAAAGAGACAAATTTCTTGAGAAATACAAACTACCACATATAGAGAAGTTGAATCACTATGCTGTACGCCTGAAACTAATGTAACATTGTGTGTCAACTATACTCAAATAAAAAAAAATTTTAAGAGAAAAACAAACAAACAAATAAAAACAAACCCCAGCAGGCCCAAATGGCTCTTCTGGTGAATTCTACCAAAGAGTTAAGTAAGATAAAAATATCAATTCCACAAAATTGAAGAGGAGTGAATGATTTCCCAACTTATTCTATGGAGAAAGCATTACCTTGGTAATAAAATCAGAAAATGACTTTTTTTTCCTTTTTACTTTAAATGTTTATTCATTTTGAGAAAGAGAGAGAGAAAAAGAGCGTGCAAGTAGGGGAGGGGCAGAGAGAGGAGGACAGAGAATCCAAAGGGGGTTCTGTGCTGACAGCAGCAAGCCCGGTGTGAGGCTGGAACTCACAAACCACAAGATCATGACCGAGATGAAGTTGAACAGTCAACTGACTGAGCCACTCAGCTACCCAGAAAAACGACGTTATTAAAAACAACACCCTATGGACTAACATTCCTCATCAACAGAGATGCAAAAATGCTAGAGAAAGCTTTAGCAAACTGAATGAAAAAAAAATATATATATATAAACACTGCACCATAACCAAATGGGGTTTACCTAGGGAATGCATGACTGATTTACCATTTGAAAACCAATGAGTGTAATTCAGTAGAAAAAATAATTGAGGGGCGACTGGGTGGCTCAGTCGGTTGGGCACCAACTTCAGGTCAGGTCATGATCTTGCAATTTGTGAGTTCAAGCCCAGCATCAGGCTCTGTGATGACAGCTCAGAGCTTGGAGCCTGCTTCGGATTCTGTGTCTCCCTCTCCTCCTCATGCTCTCTGTCCCTCTGTCTCTCAAAAATAAATAAACATTAAAAAAGAAGAAGAAGAAAAAGTATTTTAAAAAATCCATATCCATTCCTGTTTAAATCTCTCAATGAAGTAGGAAAAATAGGCAACTTCCTCAGCCTGATAAGGGCATCTACAAAAACATACAACTATCATCATGTTTAATAACATAAGACTAGAAGCTTCTCCCCTAAGATCGAGACAAGTATGGCCGCCTCACTACTTCTACCCAGGAATATACTGGCAGTCCTAAAGAGTAAAGTAACGCAGAAAAAAAGCAATAAAAGACTTCCAGATTAAAAAGAAAAAAGTAAAACTATGTTAATTCACAGAAGATATGATCACTTATATAGAAAAGTCCTTGCAGGATATAGCATTAATATACAAAATTAATATAACAAAAATTTTATTGATATATAATAGTATGAAAAACCAGAAACAAATTTTAAAAATCTTATTTACAATAGCACTAAAACTATGAACTACTTAGGGATAAACCCAACCAAAGATGAGAAATACCTGTACACTGGATACTATAAAACACAGCAGAGATAAATTAGAGAAGACCTTAAAATAAAGGAAAAGCTATAGTTTCTGGGTCACAAAACTCATTATTATTAAGACATCAGTGCTCCCCAAACTGATCTACAGATTCAATGCAATGCCAATCAATATCTGTATAGGGGTGAATACTGTGTGTCCTACCCCCCACAAAGTTCATGATTATAAGGAGCCCATGATAGTGACTTATTTGGCAACAGGGCCTTTGCAGGTGTAGTGAAATAAAGATGAGGTCATACTGAATTAGGATGGACATCAATGCAATGACTAGTGACCTTACAAAAACAGGGCAATTTGGATACATAAACACAAAGACATGTGAGGGCACAAAGCACACAGCCACACGCGGAAAACACATGTGATGACAGAGGCAGAGACTGAATGACGTATCTACATGCCAAGTAATACCAAGGACTGTCAGCAACCACCGGAAGGAGAGAGGAGCAAGGAAGGACCCTAGAGCCTTCAGAAGAAGCATGGCCCTGCTGATCTCAGACTCGATCATGACCTTTATCTGACCTCTAGCCTCCAAAACTGTGAGAGTAAATGTCTCTTGGCATAAGCTACTTCTTTGTTAAAATAGCTCTAGGAATCTAATAAAATATAACAGAAGGTATTTTTGTGGAAACGTACATATTGATTCTAAGATACATGTGGAGATTCAGAAGACCTACAACAGCCAAAAAAACTCTGAAAAAGAGTAACAAAGCTGAAGGACTAACCTCATCTGATTTCAAGACAGTACAAAGTGACAGTAATCAAGATTAACACAGTACCGGCATAAAAGGTAGGCAAATGGATCAATAAAGAATCACAGAGCTCAGAAAGAGAACGACCCATAGACAACTAACTTTCCACAAAGGTACAAGGTCATTCGGTAGAACAAAGATAGACTTTTCAACACTTACATTTGAACTGTAAAGCAATAAACTTCAACCCATACTTTGCACATATTAAAAAATTAATTCCAAATTAGTCCCGGACCCTAACTGTAACGCCTAAAGCTGTAAAACTTCTAGAAGAAAACATTGGAGAAAATCTTTGTGACCTTGGGTTAGGCAAAGGATTTTTTAGATGTGATGTGAAATGCCTAATTCTTAAGAAAGAAATACACTGGATAAACTGGACCTCATCAAAATAAAAAACATCTACTACTCTACTTAAAAGCACGAAAGAATGTCAACATAAGCCACATGCTGGAAGAAAATATTTGCAAATCATGTATCTGATAAAAGGCTTGTATCCAGAACATATAAAGGACTCTCAAAACTCCATCAAATAAGTGAATACATCAGCAAAAGTTTTTCAGACACCAGTGAGGACATACTAATGTCACAGTAATGTATCATAATGTTCTCTAGACTCATCCGTGTTGTCAGAAATGACAGGATTTACTTTTTCTAAGGCCAAATAATAGTCCA